ATACATTAGATGTTTGTTTTTGCTTCGATTTTAGCTGCTTTGAGAGAGGCTCTTTCAAAGCAGATGTCTTAATCTTCTTAGTGCCTCAAACTAGATCCTGTTCAGACATGTTATAACCAGTTAGTATGCCTTTATTTTGGTGCCAAAACACTTTGAAATCCATGCCTAATGTTTTCATAATATGCATTTTCCAGGAGCCTTTGGAGGACCCACTTACAAGCTGTCCAGATTTGTGTCAATTTATTTATTTATTTATTTACTTACTTACTTACTTAGCCTAGCTTAGCTTAGCTTAGTAAACTATTTCAGCCTGAAAACAGGTATTTCTTCAGTTCAAGGGAAGTTTTCTTTCAATCACTATAATTTATTACTTTTCCTCTTTTTGAAAAAGTAGTATTTCATAAAAGAGACTATTATCTACACTTTTTTTCTCCATCCTTTCTCCTATATCCCTTACCTTTAGTTTTATATTTTTTTCCCTTTTTTAATTTAAAATTTATTTGGGAGGCACAGAGACAGAAATAGAAACAGAACTCTTATCTGCTGGTTCACTCCCAAAATGCTTGCAACAGCTGGGACCAGATCCAGGAGCTGGGAATGCAATCCAGTCTCCCATATGAATGGCAGGAATCCAATTATTCGAGCCATCACCACTGCTTCCCAGGGTTTGTATTGGTGGGAAGCTGGAGTCAGGGGTGGAACTGGAAATTGAACCCACCCTGATACGGGATGCAGGCATCTTAAGTGTTCTAACTACTAGTCAAATGCCCACTTCCTCTTTTTTTTTTTTAATTCTGATTTATTTATTTTCCTTTTATATTTGAAAGGCACAGAGAGAGACTTCCCATCTACTCCCCTAATGCTCACAACAGCCAGGGCTGGGCCAGATTGAAGCCAGGAGCCAGGAACTCCATCTAGGTCTCTCACATGGGCAACAGGGACCCAGGTAGAGCCATCCTCTGCCCCCTCCCAGGTGCATTAGCAGGAAGCTAGATCAGAAGTGGAGTAGCTGGAACTCAAATCAGGCACTCTGATATAGGATACGGGTGTCCCAAGCAGCAACCTAACCCCCTGAGCTGCAATGCCCACCCCTAGAAGGGACAGTTTTAAAACAGCATTAAAGAGTGGGCATTTGGTGCAGTGGTTAAGAGGCTGATTGTGACTCCTGCATCCCATATCAAAGTACCTGGGTTCAACTCCCACTCCTCTTTGAATTCTAGTTTCCTCCTAGTACATAGCCTGGGAGGCAGCAGGTGATGGCTCAAATACTTGGGTCTCTCACCAATGCAGAAGATCTGGATGGAGCTTCTTGCTCCTGGCTTCAGTCTGGCACACCCCCAGTGTGGGGAGCAACCAAGACTAGACTAAATTACTGGAACTGCTAGGACTAATTCTATGCATCTGATCTCCCATCATATGGCGCTGAGAGAGAGTAAACAGCTTCTACACAGCTGCCTCACCAATTCGACTGATAAGCTGCAGGAGCTGATCCTGCTCCTGGTTGGAGGAGAGCAGCATGCTCAGTGCGTGGGAAGAGAACGCCAGGAGAGTTGGGATTGGTGGAAGAGGACTATAAAGGAGGAGAGAGACAATATGCACCAAGAACATCTGAGGAACATCTGAGCAACCCCCGAGAGAGCCGGCCGGCGGTGTGCCGCTCCTCCGCGGAAGCAGGGAAAGCGGCGGGGGGTGCCGCCCCTCTGTGGAGGTGGCGGGGGGGGGGGGGGGGGGGGGGGACTGGCAGCAAACCTGGGAAGGGCCGGCAGCAAACCCGGGAAGGGCCGGGGAAAAAGAACAGCACAAGGTCCGGTGTCTTTCCTCCACAAGTGGGGGAGCGACACCCCAGCTGTTGTGGGTATTGGAGAGTGAACCAGCCAATAGGATATCTCTCTCTCTCTGTGTCTTTGCCTTTCAAATAAATAAACAAAATACATATAGAAATTTGTTCAAACAACAACAAAAACCAAACAGCTTTTACCCCTGAGCCTGAATTGTTCAATTCACTAAAAAGACAGAAAAGTCACCATTCAGAGTGGAATAGCCCAGCAGGCCACACATACACCTGAGGCTCAGAGCTGACAGGGTTCCATGTGCTCTGATGTACTGTGCTGCTCCCGAATGAAATGTGATTATTTTTCCAATACATGCATTAAAGTGAGTTTTCACAAGGGGATATATTCAAATACATGTCAATGTTTTGTGTGAATTTCACACAGATACTAGTAATATATAACTATGTCAGTGCCTAAAATTTTAAAGTAAAGAACTCAGCTCTGAAGTCTCTCTTCCTCCAGTTACAGCAATGGCCTCCTTTTCCTGCCAGGCATGGGACAGGCCTTCCGGAAGGGCTTGTGCTTCTGTGAGAAATCACATCACTTTTCAGAGTCAAGGCCATCTGGCCCCATTTCCCAGAAGAGTTTTCACCACGTGAGACTCACAATGAATGAGCCTCATCCCACCCAGGTGGTGGGAGTAATTCCTGGGGATAACGTGTACCTGGGGGCATGCGAGCTCAGGAATGATCAGGTTTGGAACTGCCAAATGTGAATGAGCCGCTTTGCTTTCTCCCTGCATCTTCTTGAGACACAAAAACAAACTAAGGAGAGGTCTGAGACAGAAGAAACATGGAACTTAAATACAGTTATCTGAAGAAATGTGTCCGGAATACTACAAGTAAAAGAAACACATGAAGAAGGAAGAGTCCTATAAACGATAAAGAACTCTGCAGTAACCTTTTTTAGTTAATAAATAATCTTACACTTCTAATGCAGGTGCAGGCTAAAGGGAAAAGGGAGAAAAAGAAAGAAAGGAAGAAACCGACTGGCTTTCTTCTCCTCAAGTGTTTTCTGCCAGCAGAATTATCTTTGTCTTTAAATCAGCTCAGTTCAGGGGCTGGTGCCATGGCTCACTTGGTTAATCCTCCGCCTGCGGTGCCAGCATCCCATATGAGCGCTGGGTTCTAGTCCCGGCTGCTCCTCTTCCAGTCCAACTTTCTGTTGTGGCCCGGGAGGGCAGTGGACGATGGCCCAATTGCTTAGGCCCCTGCACCCTCATGGGAGACCAGGAGGAAGCACCTGGCTCCTGGCTTCTGATTGGCATAGCGCCGGCCATAGTGGCCATTTGGGGGCAGAAGGAAGACTTTTCTCTCTGTCTCTCTCTCTGTCTATAACTCTACCTGTCAAATAAATTTAAAAAAATCAGCTCAGTTCAAATAAGCTACATACAAAGTCATAGCCTGCCCCATAATGTAAGCATCAGAGACACCACCGTTAATATTTTGAAATATACCATTTCATACTTTCTTCATTGTTTATAAAAATCGGGATGTTCATTATTCACAACAGCTAAAGAAGCAGAAACATCCCCATGCTCCTTAACTGAATAATGTATTAATTATGGTACATCTATCTAATGGAATATTATACAGCAATAAAAAGGGAAGAGGTACTGACATATACTACACAATGTGTAAACCTTGAAAACATTACGCTGAATAAAAAAGTTTACAAAAATACTTCAGTTGCTTCTAAAAAAAAAGAGAAAACATTATACTGAGTCAAAGAATCATGTCACAAATGACCATATATTATATAATTCTATTCATATGATATGTCTAGAAGAGGCAAAAATCCATAGAGACAGGAAATGGAGTAGGAGCAGAGGGAAGCAAGAAGTCATTGCTAATGTGTACGGATTTTTTTAGTGGGAACAAAAGTATTCTAAAATTAGATTGTACTGATGGATGCTTAACTCTGTGAAAATGTTAAAAGAAAAATTTAAAGAGGTGAATTATATTTCAACAAATAAAGAAAAGGCAAAAAAATTATACAGGTTATTCTGTAATTGCTTCTTCTCATCTTTAATGTATCACAGACAATATTCCCTGTCAGCAAAATATGCAACTGCGTTGTTATTTTTAAGCAATTGTACAATGTTCCATTGTATGAATATACTGATTTTTAATTAATGATTGATTAATAAACAGAACTTACTCCCAGTTGCTATATTGAACCCATGTATGGGCACATATCTTTGTACATCAATCTGGTTGTTTTCATAGAAAATAAAGAACAGAAATGAGGGCAAAGTGTCTAGACTCCATAAAATGATACGTATTGCCTGACTGTCCTCCACAAAGGCCAAATGAACACTCATCCCGGTGGACACAAAACACCATTTTCCTGGGGTGAGCATTTGGTGTGCAGTTAAGATGAAGCTTGGGATGCCTGCATCCCCCTCAGAGGGCCTGAGTTCAAGTCCCAGATCCTCTTCCTATTCCAGCTTCCTGCTGATGTACACCTGGGAAGGCAGGGATGATGGCTCAAGTGTTTGGGTTCCTGCCACCCACACAGGAGACCTGAATTGAGTTCTGGGCTCCTGGCTTTGATTTGGCCCAGGCCCAGCTGTTGCAGGCATTTGAGAAGTGAACCTACTTCTCAAATAAGGTGAAAATAAACAATAAAAATTTATTTAAAAAATAATTTTTTCTCTACATTTCCACCAATGCCAAACATCATCAAACTTATTAATTTATGACAACAGGTTGACACGACAATAATGAACAGTATCATTTCTTAAACATGTATTTGATTATTGAAAATAAATGGCATTTCATAAGTCATTTGATTATGAGATGCCTATACTTTTGTCCTTTCTCCCTTTGGTTGTTTTAATTTTTCTTTTTTGGTTGTTTTAATTTTTCTGTCATTTGCTACAAATTATTTTTATTAATGTATCTCAATGTTGCTTATAATATCTCTATACATTCTAATATTTTATATGCTTAAATCTATTACTTTTTCTTTATGATTCCTGGCTTCAATATCTAGCCTTTACCCATCTCGATATCATAAAAATATCCCATGCTTTCTTCTAGTACAAGTTATTTTACTTTAATATTTTATTTGAACAATCCATTTGTTCCCTGCTGATCTGCAATCCTGTTTTGTTTTTACATTACTTAAATGTGGCCTATGACATCTGTTTAAAAGATGACTCACCTAACTGCTGAGCCCACTTTATGGCAATACCAGTGTCTCCTGCATTGCTTTCAGCCAAGCACACAACTTCTTGCCCAATCTTCCACCCAATTAATGGGTAAAATCCTTAAAAAGCAAATAAACAAAAAAACGTAAGTTACATAATAAAAACGTAACTCATCATAGGTTTCTACAATGGAACAATTTTATTAGCTCAAAAGAAAAAGAGCAGAGATCCTCTGAAGTCAGACTGCCTGGGTTCAAATCCCAGCCCTCTCACATTTACTAGCTGTGGGTTTACAGGTTTCAAACCTCTTGCCCACAGTTTCCTTGGCTGTAAAACGACCTGCCTCCTAACGCTGCCATAGGAATAAATGGATACATTTAATAATAATTTAATAAATAAATGTATTAATAAATATAATTAACAATAAATAGTTAACACATAAAAGGAACTGAGCACAGTGCCTAGCATATAATCTGAAGAATAAATGTTAGTTTTTACTGGTCAGAGGCATGTCTCTATCTCTAGAAACATGGCAGTAAATACTACAATTGAGAAGTAGAAGGTGACCATGAGATTAGCTGGCTAGAGAATTAACTATGCTGCTGAGTTTATCCTTGGTTTCCAAAGATGCCTCCATAGAAATGACTTAATACAGTGATCAATGTTTTCTAGCTTTTAATTTCCCAGTTAGGGGAAAAAGCAGATCTTGGGCAGGGAAAGAAGGTAGAAAATGATTTTAAAAATAACCCTGTAGTAACTGAGTGAGAGGACCCGAGCTCAAACTCAGAGCCCCAGCCTTCCAGGGTACAGCTCTACAGCCCAAAGTTCTTTGGCTTGCACATTCCAGGATTTCCTCCATTAGGAAGAACACATTCTCAGCAACTGTTATTTAAAAAAAAAAAAAAAAAAAAAAACAAAAAAAAAAAGATTTACTGATTTATTTGAAAGTCAGAGGTACACAGAGAGAGAAGGAGAGGCGGAGAGGCAGAGAGAGAGAGAAAGAGAGAGAGAGGGGAGGGAGAGAGAGAGAGATAGAGAAAGATAGAGGTCTTTCATCCATTGGTTCATTCCACAATTGGCTGCAATGGCTGGCGCTGTGCCGATCCAAAGCCAGGAGCCAGGAGCTTCCTGCGGGTCTCCCACATGGGTGCAGGGGCCCAAGGACTTGGGCCATCTTCTATTACTTTCCTAGGCCACAGCAGAGAGCTGGATTGGAAGTGGAGTAGCCGGGGCCTGAACCAGTGCCCATTTGGGATGCTGGTGTCACAGGTGGCAGCCTTATCCACTATACCACAGTACCAGCCCCAGCAACTGTTATTAAAACCCTAAACATGCATGGATTACTATTTAAGAACTATTCCCCTAAAAAATTCGCAAAAGAAGAATTTTTTAACACGCACAAAATTTTAGAGCCCTAGTAAGACACTGGAAATAAATAATAGCATGTGTCACAGGTTAATATTTGGAAAACTGACCAAAATACCTGAATCCTTCCGAATTTTTTCTATAACATCTTTCTTATCTTTTTTTTATGCTTTTAACTTAGAGGGGAAAAAAGGAAATGGAAATTAACTTTCTTTAAGAATAATAATAAAAAGTATATTAGAAGAGGGCCGGCGCCGTGGCTCAATAGGCTAATCCTCCGCCTTGCGGCGCCGGCACACCGGGTTCTAGTCCCGGTCGGGGAGCCGGATTCTGTCCCGGTTGCCCCTCTTCCAGGCCAGCTCTCTGCTATGGCCAGGGAGTGCAGTGGAGGATGGCCCAGGTGCTTGGGCCCTGCACCCCATGGGAGACCAGGAAAAGCACCTGGCTCCTGGCTCCTGCCATCGGATCAGCGCGGTGCGCCGGCTGCAGCGGCGGCCATTGGAGGGTGAACCAACGGCAAAGGAAGACCTTTCTCTCTCTGTCTCTCTCTCTCACTGTCCACTCTGCCTGTCAAAAAAAAAAAAAAAAAAAAAAAAAAAAGTATATTAGAAGATATCCTTATCATAAAATGGAAAAACAGTGTATCACAAAAATTAAACAAAAATAGAAGTGTGATTTTATTAATGAACAGGTTAAATTCTAACTATTTACCTCCCACAGTGTGTTGTAGGTTATTTCCAGTATTAATATCCAAAAAAGTCCCAGTTCCCATGGTTAATTTCACGTCTCCTGTCTGGAAGCAGCATTCTCCAAACATGGCTGACTGCTGGTCGCCGACCTGTGAGAAACGTTCAAGTGTAAGAGCCACTGCCCTTAGTGGTGGTGCCGCTCAGTACTCCCTATTGCTGCATTTAATGAGTTCTCATGGTTAAAAATGATTTTTTCTTTTTTTCCTTTTCCCTGAAAAAACCAATCTCAGAGAACAGGGAGCAACAAGTATGGGACAGGACTGACAGCGTGCAGATAACTAATAATTTAGGAATGTTTAATGGGCAACTTGCTTTCCGATCCTGAAGTATCACATAAAACATCTCAGGGATGAATGTCACAGAAAAGCCTACACCAAAATAATCAACTAAGATTTCTTATGTTCAACTTACATAGGTTTCATCCATTAGTCAAAATAACTGACCTCACTTTTCTTTAAAAAAAAAGATTTATTTCTTTATTTGGAAGTCAGAGTTAGAGAGAGAGAGAGAGAGAGATTGATTCTATCCACTGGTTCACTCCCCAAATGGCCACAATGACTAGGGCTAGGCCAGGCCAAAGCCAGGGGCCAGGAGCTTCTTCTGGGTCTCCCATGTGGGTGCAAGGGCCCAGGGACCTGGCCCATCTTCCACTGCCTTCCCAGGCCATTCAGGCAGCTGGATCTGAAGTGGAGCAGCCAGGTCTCGATCCAGAGTCCACATGGGATGCTGGCATTGCATGCAGCAGCTTCACTGGCTACATCACAGCACTGGCCCTCATATATTATTTATTACTCACATATTATTTATTACTAAGAATAATAGGTGTGGGGGCGGCACACAACAGGCCTGTAGCACCAACATCCCATATGGGTGCCAGTTCAAGTCCTGGCTGCTCCATTTCCGATCCAGCTCCCTGCTAATAAACCTGGGAAAGCAGCGGAGGACCCCTGCACCCACGTGGGAGACCCAGAAGCTCTTGGCTCCTGATATCGATCAGCTCAGCTCCGTCCATTGCAGTCATCTGAGGACTGAACCAGCGATGGAAGACCTCTCTCTCTCCACCTCTCTAACTCTGTCTTTCAAATAAATAATATAAATCTTTTTATAAAAGGAATAATAGGTGCCTGTTTAAATATAAATAGATATAGGCCAAACTATCCATTTTTCAACCATACAAATTTGTTAGAAGGAAAATTAGAACATTTTGTTAATGTGGTTAATAAGGACCAAATTCACCTCAAAAAGCCTTTCACAAGGGCAGGCCTTTGGTCTAGCCATTAAGCCTCTACTTGGGACACCCACAGGCCATAACAGAGAGCCTAGGTTGGAGTCCTGGCTCTGCTCCTGTTTCCAGCTTTCTGCTAGTGCACACCCCGGAAGGCAGATGGTGATGACTCAATAGTTGGGTCTCTTCCTCCCACGAAGCAGGCTTAGATGAGTCCCCAGCTCCTGGCTTCGGTCCGTTCCAGTACCAGTTGTTGCAGGCATTTTGGGAGTGAACCACTTGGGGATGGGAGTGAACATTCTGGGGAGGAAAACTCTCTCTCTCTATGAATTTCTGATTTTCAAATAAATAAATAATTGAAAAGAAAACCTTTCCCTGGGGCCAGCACTGTGGAGCAGTGGATTAATGTCCTGGCCTGAAGCGCCCGCATCCCATATGGGCGCTGTCGAGACCTGGCTGCTCCACTTCCGATCCAGCTCTCTGCTATGGCCTGGGAAAGCAGTAGAAGATGGCTCAAGTTCTTGGGCCCCTGCACCTGTGTGGGAGTCACGGCGGAAGCCCCTGGCTCCTGGCTTCAGATGGGCGCAGCTCTGGCTGTTGTAGCCAATTAGGGAATGAACCATCAGATGGAAGATCTCTCTGTATCTCTCTCTCTCTCTCTCTCTCCCCTCTCTGTGTAATTCTGACTTGCAAATAAATAAATAATATTTTTTTAAAAAAGAAAGAAAACCTTTCCCACTAATCTATAACTCCTCCAGTCATACCTTAATCTAACACTGAATCTATCCCTAGACTGAATAAGCCTGGACCTCTCTAAATGACCATGAATTTGTAACTTGGGAATTAAATTCTCCTTCCCTTGCATGCTGCCCCAGCTATAGTGGAGACTGTCTATCTTGAAAAATCAAAGACAGCCTTTGAGCTTTACAGTTTGTTAATAAAGTAGCTACTTCTTGAGGTTCTCCAACTTCTGACTCACGTGCACCCAGAGAAAAAGTATAATCAAGAAAGGACTCTTAAAACTCAAAAGCAGTGGGGCCAGCACCATGGCGCAGCGGGTTAAAGCCCTGGCCTGAAGGGCCAGCATCCCATATGGGTGCTGGTTTGAGACTCGGCTGCTCCACTTCCCATCCAGCTCTCTGCTATGGCCTGGGAAAGCAGTAGAAGATGGCCCAAGCCCTTTGGTCCCTGCACCCACGTGGGAGACCTGGAAGAAGCTCCTGGCTCCTGGCTTTGGATGGGCGCAGCTCTGGCCATTGCAGCCAATTAGGGAGTGAACCATCGGATGGAAGACCTCTCTCTCTCTCTCTCTGCCTCTCTCTTCTATCTCTGTGTAACTCTGACTTCAAATAAATAAATCTTAAAAAAAAAAAAAAACCTCAGAAGTAGCAATTCTTCATTATTCTGCAAACTTCTGTTCTGGTGGGTACTGGCTAAGGATTAAAAAATGTAAATACAACTTTCTCCTTTAGTTTAAATTGCCCTATTACTATTTATAGTTACACTGTAAAATATAAATCAAACATTGGCTCCATCATTGCTTTTGTTTTTAAAATGCTTATTTATTTAATAGGTAGAGAGGAGGAGAAAGAGGAGGAGGGAGGAAATGAGAGGAAGGGAGTGGAGGGGAGGGGAAGGGAAGAGAAGAGGAGAGAAGAGAAGCAGAGCAAAGAGAAGAGCTCTCATCTACTGGTTTACTCCCCACATGACTGTAACAGTCAAGACTGGGCAAGGTCAAGGCTGGGAATGGACAGTACAATCCAGATCTCTCAGTGGGGGACAGGAACCCAACTGAGCATCATCACTGCCTCCCAGGCTTTGCATTGGCAGGAAGCTGAAGTCCGGAGCTGGAGCCAGGAATCAGAATCCAGGTACTCCACTATGGGATGGCAGCATCTTAACTGCCAGGCCAAACGCCTGCTCCCCATCACAGCTTTTTTTTTTTTTTTTTTGACAGGCAGAGTGGACAGTGAGAGAGAGAGAGAGACAGAGAGAAAGGTCTTCCTTTTGCCGTTGGTTCACCCTCCAATGGCCGCCGCGGCCGGCGCACCACGCTGATCCGATGGCAGGAGCCAGGTACTTATCCTGGTCTCCCATGGGGTGCAGGGCCCAAGCACTTGGGCCATCCTCCACTGCACTCCCTGGCCACAGCAGAGAGCTGGCCTGGAAGAGGGACAACCGGGACAGAATCCGGCGCCCCGACCGGGACTAGAACCCGGTGTGCCGGCGCCACAAGGCGGAGGATTAGCCTGTTGAGCTGCAGCGCCGGCCCCCATCATAGCGTTTTGTCTCAGAGTATAAAATATCAACCAAAGTTACTCAGAATAGATTACTTTTTAAAAATTGAACACGGTTTCTGAAAAACAATACACAGATAAGTTAGAAAAGGTTATGAAGTGCTTCCATGATATAATACTGGCCCTGTGGTCCCTTTTCCAGAATATAGAGGACACTTCTGGTTATATCCAGGGCCTTTTAGCTTAAAAGGAAAAATAAACTTTAATTTTATTCTGCCAATGACCTTTTCTTTTGTTACAGAAATCTGAGGTGTGATGACTCCCTTTGTTCAAACAGGCACCAGAGACGGTGGAGGATCAAGCACTTTATTACGCCAGCGGGCTCAGCTGGAATCATTTCCTGAGAACTGAGCAACAATCCCAAGTTTCTTACAGTATTTATAGGTTCATCAGCATCACACCTTAGCTGGTACAGCATTGGGGGGTTTAAATTGCAGCCCATGTGATTTAGGACCACACTTGCAATGGTCGGTGGGCCTGGTATGTTTGTACAAGAGATATCAGGGACAGATTCATTAGGACAGATATATGACTGGAGCTGACAGAAGCAGAACTTAGGACTTCTTCCCTCCCTAGACAAGATAACAGTGGGCAGCTGCTTCACTAGTTAATTGCAAACAGCCACTTTTCAAGGTCTGTGTTGGGAGGAGGGGTCCGCTTTTCTATGTCTCTGGTTGCGGCCGTATTTCCTCTACACTTTCTCATAGAGCTGGTCCTTACTATTCATTTATATTCATTTGTTTATATTATACAAAGAGAAACTCTCATGTTTCCTACTTACCAAGGCAACTATTGGTATAGGCACACCAAATATCTCTTTATCCACTGATCCAAAATTGTGGCTTCAAATAAAATTGATTAAAACATTAGTTATATCTCCAGAAATGTTAATTATTTAAAATTCAGTAAACACTTTATAGGCCAAAGAGTTATGCCATGAAAATATAAGCATCTCAGACATGTAATAAATGCTTTCCCCCACCAAAGCCAAGTGAATTCAAGGACAATTCTGTTGGTTCCTCTATGAGATGGTCATTATTACCTCGTGTCCTTCACAGGAGGCAGGAGGGAGAGTGGTATTGAAACCAAGGAGGTAATGAGACTGCTCCAACACATCTAAGTATAAAAATATATCACCAGAATATACATATTTACATATGTCAAACCCATATACATATTTCAAAACATCATGTTGTACATGATAAAATATACACAAGTTTTACGTGACACATTTAATCTTTAAAAATCTGACATAAATTACACAATAATTGCTGATTCAAAAAGAAGAAAAAAAAATCTTTACCTTATAGGGATCAAAAAGTCCAGTTGTACTGGCATTTGAAACATCCGTGGCATATTCAGAACCTAAATTTACATTGGAAATAGTACACATATTATCAGGTAGGATAAATCAATATCTATTCCTAGTTTATAATCTAAACCTTTGTCTACCCTTGAGTTCATTACTAACTGCATTATTTCCATTGTAAAGTCTCCAGAACAATTTCCTACTTAACCTTTGGAAACTTATATAGCTTACAAAGCACTTTCATACGCATTGTCATTTTATGACCCCCAGCTTAAAGAGGCCCAAAGAGGTTCAGTGATGTCAAACGATCACCTGTAGTTATACTCTCTTGCAACCTGGCAGATTTGGCACTGAACTTAAGTCTTACCCTTCTTGATTAAGACTGTTGGGGCCAGCATTGTGGCTCAACAGGTAAAGCCACCACCTATGACACGAGCATTTCATCTGGGTGTCGGTTTGAGTCCCAGCTTCTCCACTTCCCATCAAGCTCCCTGCTGACACTCCTGGGAAAGCAGCAGATGGTCCAAGTCTTTGGGCCCCTGCACACACATGGGAGACCCAGAAGTAGTTCCTGGTTCCTGGCTTTGTCCTGGCCCAGCCCTGCCACTGCAACTGAGGTCATTCGGGGAGTAAACGAGCAGAAGGGAGATCTCCCTCTGTCTCCCCCTCCTCTGTAACTCTGACTTCCAAATAAATAAATACATCTTTTTAAAAAGCAATTAAAACTGTTACCCAGTGTTTTTTTTTTTTTTTTTTTTGACAGGCAGAGTGGACAGTGAGAGAGAGAGACAGAGAGAAAGGTCTTCTTTTGCTGTTGGTTCACCCTCCAATGGCCGCCGCGGCAGACGCGCTGCGGCCGGCACACCGCGCTGATCCGATGGCAGGAGCCAGGTGCTTCTCCTGGTCTCCCATGGGGTGCAGGGCCCAAGCACTTGGGCCATCCTCCACTGCACTCCCGGGCCACAGCAGAGAGCTGGCCTGGAAGAGGGGCAACCGGGACAGAATCCGGCGCCCTGATCAGGACTAGAACCCGGTGTGCCGGTGCCGTAAGGTAGAGGATTAGCCTAGTGAGCCGCGGCGCTGGCCTACCCAGTGCTTTTTAAAAATATATTATTTATTTATTTATTTATTTGAAAGTCAGAGTTACAGAGAGAGATGGATGAGAGAGAGAGAGGGAGAGGGAGAGGGAGAGGGAGAGATATCAATCTTCCATCTGCTGGTTCATTCCTCACAACAGCTGGAACCGGACCAGGACAAAGCCAGGAGCCAGAAGCTTCTTCCAGAACTCCCACGTGGGTACAAGGTTCCAAGGACTTGGGCCATCTTCCACTGCTTTTCCCGGGCCATTAGCAGGGAGCTGGATTGGAAGTGGAGCAGCTGGAACATGAACGAGTGTCTATACAGGACGCTGGCATCACAGGCAGCAGCTTTACACACCATGCTACAACACTGGTCCCTACCCAGTTCTTATATTTGAGGTTTTATTAAAACTTAAAAATCACTGTCCTCTTCAACAAATCTGAGACACATCTAGCTTTTCTGTAATGTGCAGTTGTTAGGTTACCAAAGAGCAGTATGTCTGGGATGCAGGAAGGAAAAAGGGAGCAAAGGGGAACTTCGGTTTTCCTAGGTACATCCTGTCTCTGTCAAGTTTTAACTGAGACAGAGCTATGAGGTCATGCGTACCTTTGGTGAGCTTATGTAATAACCAGGTGTCAATAGTTCCAAAGCAACAATTTCCTTCTTCAGCTGCCTTTTGTACCTTGAAAATGTAACAGCACAAAATCAATTCAAGAAGGCTGAAGCTATTAAGTACCTAATTAAGTGCACAGCATGATATAATAGATTCCCATTTTACTAGATATAATATGCTTCCATTACATTAATATACATAGCATAATATACTCCCATGTTGATAAAAATTAATATATACACAATAAAATAATGCCTAGAATATATTCCAAATGGTTCTATGCAATTGTTACAGCATTTCCAATTTAGTGGGGGAGACTTTACTTTTCTGTGTAATATTTCTGAAAAGCGTTAGTTTTTTAACTAAGCATATATTACTTTTGTGATTAAAAAAGGCAAAGTATACATATTTTAGTTTAGATATGCAAATACACTAGTATACCTTACAGCAGGAACAGCACAGTATGGCCCCCGGGCCCAGCCCAGTTCAGTGCCTGTTTTTGTGCAGCAAGGTTAGAGTGGTTTTTAAATTTTTTAATGGCTAAAAAAAATGAAAGAAGAATCTTCTGTGTCAGTGTCCATGAACAAGTATTACTGGAATGCAAAGAAACTCATTTGCTCACGGATTACCTGTAGCTGCTTTCCTGCAGCAACGGCAGAACAGTTGTGATAAAAACCTTACAGTACTGGCCAGCACCGCGGCTCACTTGGCTAATCCTCCGCCTGTGGCGCCGGCACCCCGGGTTCTAGTCCCGGTCGGGGTGCCGGATTCTGTCCCGGTTGCCTCTCTTCCAAGCCAGCTCTCTGCTATGGCCTGGGAGTGCAGTGGAGGATGGCCCAAGTCCTTGGGCCCTGCACCCCATGGGAGACCAGGAGAAGCACCTGGCTCCTGGCTTTGGATTGGCACAGCGCCGGCCGTAGCAGCCATTAGGAGAGTGAACCAATGGCAAAAGGAAGACCTTTCTCTCTCTCCCTCACTGTCTATAACTCTACCTGTCAAAACAAAAACAAACAAACAAACAAAAAACCACCTTACAGTACTAAAAGACCACCATCTGGCCTTTACCCAACATAAACTGCCAATCCTTAGACCAAAGCATGCCAAGGGAAATAAAAGCATGAAAGCCTGTTTAAGTGGCTGGTGTTGTGGCAAAGTGAGTTCTGGCATCCCACTTGGGTGCCGATTCAAATCCTGACTGCTCCACTTCCAATCCAGCTCCCTGCTAATGGCCCGGGAAAAGCAGCAGAAGATGGCTCAAGTGCTTGGGCCTCTATGACCCATATGGGAGACCTTGATGAAGTTTCTGGCTCCTGGCTTCAGTCTTGGCTGTTGTGGGTATCTGGGGTATCTCTCTCTCTCTCTCTCTCTCTCTTTCTCTTCCTCTCTCCCCCTTTTCCTCTGTAACTATTTCAAATGAATAAAATAAATCTTTAAAAAAAATTCTTCCATCTCGCGTGGGCGACCTGGAAGAAGCTCCTGGCTCCTGGCTTCAGATCAGCTCAGCTCTGGTCGTTGTGGTCATTTGGGGAGTGAACCAGCGGAATGGAAGACCCCTCACTCTCTGGCTCTACCTCTCTCTGTAACTCTGTCTTTCAAATAATTATTAAAAAAATTCTGTTGTTATGACTTAGTATGATTTTAAACAGGGGTGGGGAATATCTGGCCCTTGGGCCATATAAGGCCTGTGAAATCATTTGTTCTGTCCTTGCCAAGGCAACTACAGGTAGGTCTTGAAGTTCAATAAATCTATAGCAGGCTAATTTATAAGTTGATAATTTTGTATGACCTGCAAATGATGTTATAAATATCCAAATGGCCCTTGGCAGAACAAAGGTTACCCACTTATTCTTTAAAACATGGCCCCAAGTTTCTTTCATACTCTTTCCATGCGAAGGTCTGACTGATGCTCCTCCTCTTTCAATCCGGCCTCTGTGACTGTATGAATTGAATACCACAGAAGCAGGGGTGGCTATGGGTAGCAGGTTAACCCACCATCTGCAGTGCTGGCATTCCCATTCGAGCTCTGGTTTGAGTCCCAACTGCACCACTACCAATCCAGCTCCCTGATAATGAGCCTGGGAAAGAAGAAGGTGATGGCTCAAGTACTTGGGCCCCTGCCACCCACATGGGAGATCTGGATGGAGTTCTAGGCTCCTGGATTCAGCCTGGCCCAGCTCCAAGCATCGTGGCCATTTGAGGAGTAAACCAGCAGATGGGAAATCTTCTCTCTGTAACTCTACCTTTCAAATAAATAAATAAATCTTTAAAAACAAAACAAACAAACAACAAAAAACCTCTTTAAACTAGCTAGTCGTGAAACTGAAATGCTTGTTAGGATGTTACTAACATACTGGAAAACAATTTTATAAAATATATTTACTGTCTCTCCAACTCTTATTTTTCCTTCAAGAATAGTGTTTCCTGGCCTCACCCAACTCTGCCTGCTGCCTGCGTTCCTCCTTTACTTAATCTACGGAACCTGATGCATATCTTCCATATAGCCATCATTTCACAGTATCATTGCTTCTCTACTAGGCCCTAAACTCCTTAGGGGAGGGACAAGATTGTATTCATATGTATAACACCAACACCCGGAAGGGTTCCTGGCATAGAGCAGATCCTCAAACAAAACGCTTGTTAAGCAAATAACTGAGCAGTGGGCATTTGGTGCTGTGGTTAAGAGGATGCTTGGAGCGCCTGCATCCTCCATCGGAGTGCATCAGTAGAGACTATTTTCCATCCAGCTTCCTGCTGATGTGCACCCTGGGAGGCAGTGGATGTTGGCTCAAGTACTTTGGTCCCTGCCACCTGTGTGGAAGGCCCAGACTGAGTTTTGGGCTCCAGGCTTCACCCTGGCCCAGCCTTGGCTGTCACAGATATTTAGGAAATGAACCAGTAGATGGAAGACTTCTCAATGTCTGTCTCTCTGCCTTTTGAGTTATCAAAAATAAACAACAACAAAATTTTTAAAGTAAATAACTGTTTAAATAACAGTAAATAACAGATGTTTAGGGGAACAGAAGGTAAACATCAAGACTTCCCAAGGTAGAGTCAAGGTCAATTGCCCTCATCTTGGAAAGGACTCCAAGAGGCTCTATCCTAAGAATAAGGGTAAACTAGAATGACAGGAAGTACAACTCAGATTTAAATCATCCCAGTTATTAAGATTGAGACAGTCCTGGTGCCTGGAAGAGTGAAGAAAGCAAACATAATTCCTATCTAGAGCAAAATAGAATTAGGTTAAGATTGTCATAATTTCTAACCACAATTTTGCAAATATGATGTCCAGCTCACACACATACACAGGTTAGTAACCAACTATGAAATGAGAACATGGGAGGAGAGGTGGCAGGAAAAAGAGGAAGCTATACATATTAGAATAATTAATTAACATCCATGGACTTTTAAATAAACAGGTTAATAATTGGGGAGAATAGAAATTACAGAACTAAAATTTTTAAAAGTTAACAAATGGACTTGAAAGGATAGTTTAGGAAAAAAAACACTCAGAATGAAGACTAGAGACAAAAGGATGCCAAATATGTAAGAAAAGGTAAGAGACCTAGGGAGTTTAATAAGAAGGTCTTAAATATGTGTAGTTTGCCCTTTGTATCTTTAGGTCCTGCATCTGTGAATTCAAACAACCATGGATCAAAATGTTTGAAAAATAAACTACATCAGGCCTTGTACTGTGGCTTAGCAGGTAAAGCTGTTGCTTGCAGGGCTGGCATCCCATATGGGCGCCAGTTTAAGTAACGGCTGTATCACTTCTGATTTCAGCTCTCTGCTATGGTCTGGAAAAGCAGTGGAAGATGGTCCAATTCCTTGGGCCCCTGCACCCACATGGAAGACCCGTAAGAAGCTCCAGATTCCTGGCTTCAGATAAGCCTAGCTACAGCCATTGTGGCCATTTGGGGAGCAAACCAGAGGATGGAAGACCTCTCTCTCTGTCTCTCTCTCTGCCTCTACCTCTCTGTAACTCTGCCTTTCAAATAAATAAATAAATCTTTTTTTTTAAAAAAAAAGTATTAAAAAGAAAAAGTAGTGGCTCCTCAAAGAACTTTTCAAAATCATCAATATGTGCCAAGCAATAAATTCAAGAAACCCTACAAACCCAATTAGGTTACATAAAATACACTACACTTAAATAATAAGTACATAAAATAATGAAATTCTCAGCAAATGAGAAAAGGAAGAGAACTTCCTTACTTTTATAAAAGATCTTTTTAAAAAATCTATTGCAAATTCATAAATAGTGAAATGTTGAGCTTTTCATTCTGAGTTTAAGAATGAGAAAAAGAATTTGGGTTCACTCATTCTAATTAATATGTCATGTAGGTTGGCACCAATGCAAAGAAAAAGAAATGAAAGTGCTGGACCAGTAGAAATAAACATGCAACTATTTGCAAAATAGACACTAGTGTACTCCCTCATACATTCACACAAAATCATCATATAAGTTACTTGAATAACTGAGTTGATGTAAGAATATTTTTTGATCACAGGTAAAATCAGAAAACTTAACCAATTTCTAAATACCAGCCAGAGAAGGCTAGAAAATAAGTAAACAGACTAGATAAAACAGCTATAAACATATCCACTATCTAACAGTGGATCTAATAGAATCTAATTTTAAAATGTATAAGAAACCTACAGAGAAAACTGTGGGACATAATTTAGGTATATTAAAGACTATTGTAAAGGGAAAGATCATGCCATGGATCCAAGGCTCACTACTATAAAGATGACAATTCCATTGCCTCCCCAACAGAAGTTCCAGCTCTGGCTGGGTTTGTGGTTTTTCAGGAGGGTGTGTTTGTGTGTGTATGTATGTGTGTGCATAAATTGATTAACTCATTCTAAAGTTGGTGTGGAGGCAGAAAGGATCAAGATAAATGTGACAGGAAATTTGATTCTTACTTTATACCAACTACAAAAATCAATTCCAGTTTAATTATTGACTCATGGAAGGTGAAAAGTAAGTATCTTTATGAGCTCAGAATAGGAAATGACCTCCCTAAAAGGACAACAACAAAAAAGAGGTACTAAACATTAAGACTGATAAACTAGACTGCTTTAAAATCAACAACTTATTTTTCAGAAGACGACAGAGGCAAAGGACAATTGGAAAAAATACTTGTAATACATAGCAAACAAAAATATCATCCAGGATTGTAAGAAATATGCAAGGAAAAAAGAAAATTTCTGAACATACAAGATAGAATCGTTTCCGGTCTGCTGTGTAAGAAGTTTGAAGTTGTCACTCCCATCCTTACAAGAAAAAAGCTGAGCAAAGTGAAAAGCAAAACCAGCAAGTCTTCTTACATCTGCCAGAGAGCTGATGCCACAGGACAGGCAGCCCCCAGAAAATCCAAAAGCAGTGAGCACGAGGAGTAGAGCTTACCAGGAACAGAAGCTACAGCTGGAGCTTGGGAGGAACACGTCAAGAGTGTTGCTGCAGACTAAACTGTGGATTAGATTTGTTGATTAAAAAAACAAAACCAAACCCTGGAGGTCCAGGCTTACAGGAATCCAATACTTTTATGACTTTAACTCCAGGAGCCTGCCCAGGGTTTCAGGGTGAACACTGGAGAAAAGGCAGAGAAGCACAGAGGTTGTGCTTCAGACAGGTAAAAGGGAAAGTAACAACTGTGAAACAAATCTAGAGTATGCTGTACTCCTTACAAGTGGGCTGCACTTAAGAAAAACTACTTCGTCATAAGGGCAGGGTTATGATCAGTTCCAGCCTCTTCCAACCCTCCTGCCGCATCTAAAAGATAAAAGAGTAAGTGGGGTGGGCATTTGGCACAGAGGTTAAGCTGCAGGTTGCAATGCCCGCATCCTATCATCAGAGTGCCTGGGTTAGATCTTGGCTCTGCTCCCCATTTCAGCTCCCTGCTAATGTGCACATCCTGGGAGACAGAGATGATGGCTCAAGCAGTGGGTCTGCTACTCACGTGGAAGTCCCACACTGAGTTTACAGCTCCTAGCTTTGGTCCAGCCCAGCCCTGGAGGTTGCAGGCACTCTGAGGAGCAAACCACCAGGTGGGAAGTTCTGTGTGTCTTTCTCTTTGCCTCTTAAGTAAATGGATGATAGACTGTTTTGCCTTCCCCCAACCTTCACCACATCAACAGGACTTCTGAATTAATCAGAGATTACAACTGAAAGCATTGCCAGTTTCAGGCTGTATTTAAGAAGTCTCCCGGGAAACCCAGAGATGACACAGGAGATAAAAATAAGGAAATGTGAGGAAATTTATCTCCGACATCACAGCTGCAACTAACAGTAAATACAGCATAACTCCCAGTGAGATCAACATTAAACCTCAGATTAAAAGCCTATTTTGTCTCAGTTCCTTTTACCTACTACATCATGTACAGCTTTGAACAACAACAAATCAGAAGGCAAGAAAACCCAGTCTAAAGGGACAGAGCAAGTAAAGAACCAGAAGCAGACAAGGAATTTAATTAGCAGACAGGGAATTTAAAATGTCTATGGTTAATATGGTAAGGGCTCTAATGAAAGAAAGTGGAAAGAACAGAGAGGTAAGCAGAGGAATGGAAATCTCAGAAAAAAAAAAGGAAATGCTACAAATCAAAAACACTGTAACAGAAATGAAGATAGTGCATAGTGGACTCATCAGTAGACTGGACATAGTAAAAAAAAAATCAGTTACCTTGAAGATATAAAGAGATAAAAGACACATCAATAAATCTTCCCGAACTTGTGGCATGGTAGGCTAAGCCATCGCCTGCAACACTGGCATCCCATATAGGCACCAGTTCCAGTCCTGGCTGCTCTACTTCTGATCCAGCTCCATGCTAATGCATCTGGGAAAGCAGTGGAAGATGGCCCAAGTGCTTGGGCCCCTGCACCCACATGGGAAACATGAATACAGCTCCTGGCTCCTGGCTTCTGGCTTCAGAATGGCCCAGCTCGAGTTGTTGCACCCATTTAGGGAGTGAACTAGCGGATGGAATATTCTCTCTCTCTTTAACTCTTTCAAATAAATAAATAAATCTTAAAAAAAAAAAAAAACTTTCCAAACTAAAAAGAAGAAAGCAGGGTGGGGAATAAAAAGAAAACAATATTCATGGGGCCAGTGCTGTGGCGTAGTGGGTAAACTGCTGCCTGAAGCGCCGGCATCCCATATGGGTGCCAGTTCTAGTCCAGGTTGCTTCACTTCCGATCCAGCTCTCTGCTATGGCCTGAGAAAGCAGTAAAAGATGGCCCTAGTTCTTGGGCCCCTGCAGTCATGTGGAAGACCTGGAAGAAGCTCCTGGCTCCTGGCTTCGGATCAGCGCAGCTCCTGCCGTTGCGGCCATCTGGGGAGTGAACCAGCAGATGGATGATCTCTCTCTCTCTGCCTCTGCCTCTCTGTAATTGTGCCTTTCAAATAAAATAAATAAATCTTAAAAAAAAAAGCCACAATATTCATGAGCTCTGTGTCAGTGCAAGAAGTATAACATGTATAGTGGGAGTTATCAGAAGACAACAATGGAACAGAAGAAATATTTTCCATAAAACTTACTGAGCATTTTCCAAAATTAATAACAGATACCAAACCATAGATCCAGGAAGCTCAGAGGATACTAAGCACAAGCATCAACATCAAAAAATCCACACCGGGTGTATTATATTCAAACTGCTGAAAACCAAAGACAGAGAAAATCTTCAAAGAAGCCAGAGAGATAAACATCTTAAATACGAAAATCTAAACTGCAACTGACAAATTGCTGGAAGCTCTGTACCAACAAGGATGACCAGAGGGGATTTTTAGGGAAGTAAAACTATTGTGTATGAATCTGTAACAGTGAATGCATCTCATTATGTATTTGTGGAGACCCATAGAACGTACAACACAATGGGTGAATCCTAAGATAAACTATCGATTCTAGTTAGTAAAAGTGCATCAGAATTGGTTAATCAATTGTAACAAATAATACTACACTAATGCGATATGCAAGTAATAGGAAACTGGTAGTGGTGGGCATGAAGATGTATGTAGAAACTATTTTCCATTCAGTTTTCTGTAAGCCTAAAATTGACTAAAAATTAGTCTACAAACTAAACATTTTTCAAGTGGGTAAAGGATCTATATAGACACCTCCCCAAAGAAGATATTCAAATGGTAAATAAACATAGGAAAATGTATTCTATATCATATGCCATTAGGGAACTGCAATGAGATACCACTACACACCTATTAAAACACTAAGATAATACTACACCCTGTTAAAATGAATGACTAAACTCCAACACTAACAACATCAAATGCTGATGAGGATATGAACAATAGGGAATCTCATTCATTGTTGGTAGGAGGGAAAATGCTACAGTCACTTTGGAAGATAATTTGGCAGTTTCATACAAAATTAAATGTAGTCTTACCATACTATCTAGCAATCACATACCCTAGGTATTTACCTAAATGAGCTGAAATTTTATGTCCACATAAAAATCTGCAGACAAAAGTTTATAGGAACTTTATTCATAATTGCCAAAAATTAGAAGCAACCAAGATGTTTTTCAATAGGTAACTGAATTAACAAATGTTGACAACATCCAAATAATGACATATTTCTTAGTGACAAAAAGAAATGATCCATCAAGTCACAAAAAGACATGGAGAAACTTAACCCATTATGTCCCATCATCCTATATAAGGGCAGTCAAAACTAAAAATGAGCAATAAACATACCGTTTATGGTAAGTTTGAAATAAATATTAGGTTGTTGAAATATTTTGAAATTGAAAACTTGGGAGTTAATCGGCTAAAAGTATACTGGTAAGCAGAGTAAGCCAGTGTGAAAAGGCTACAAAATTATATTATTTTAATTATATAATATTCTGAAAAAGGCAAAACTATAGAGACAATAAAAAAATAAATGCCAGGGGTTTGCTAAAAGATTAAAAATAGAAATTACATTGGTAAATAAAATAAAAAGTCCTCTCATCACTGATGGTGGATGTGTAAATTATTAGAACTACTTTGAAAAGTGTTTTGACATTATTCACTACAGGTGATGATACACATGCAAATTCATACTCTAAAAGTTCCATCCCTGTATGTAGACCCAGCACTGACATGTACACGGACAAATGTATTATTAATAATAACCCACAACTAAGAAGAACTCAAATGCACATCAACAGAACGGATAAATTATGGTAAAATAACAGTCTAAACAGTAAATATCAAGAAAAATAATTTATGCACAATGTGAATATTTATACACATATATTACAGTATATGTTGACTAAAAGGAATCTGACATAAACCATATATAAACCATAGGATTCCATCTTTTGATTAAAAAATCTTCAGGCAAAATTAAAGTATGAGGTTGAAAAATAAACATACAAATATTAGAAATAAAATGTGATATTAATTATTATAGTGTTCCAGTTTTTGATCCGATTGGCATTACAGAGATGGCTACACAGTGCATCACAGATAGGTACATTTTGTTTTGTTCACCTTTCTAGATGTATTAGGATGTAATAAAAATGTTTAGAAAAAAATGAACCACATAAAGATGCCTTGTCTTCCACTCCAATATATGATAAATACAAGTTTCCCTCAAATAATCAAATCACTATCTTTATTCCTCGAATATTTTCTTCCCCACAGTCTTTACCTTGTTTCTATACACACAATCTCTGCTTACCTCTATTATATTCTGTAATATCCAGGCCAGGCGCAGAGAAGCATGCTGGGTTGTGAAAGTGAACATATTGGCGGCTAGCAGTCGTTTACTTCTAGTGAAAAAGTGAAGCACTCGGCAGGAACTGTGTATTACCTAGTTAGGAAAAAGACATTTTAGGAAAATGCTTTCAATGATGTATGATGTTTCTATATCAATTATTTGCACATATAAACAAACCAAGCAGAAAACAATCATTTAACTACTTGTAAAAGTGTTATCAGCACAAAAGAAAGTCAAGTCCAGCAGTATTATCTTGAGTACACTGCATCCTTTTTTAAAAATTTTATTTATTTGAGAGGTAGAGTTACAAATAGAGAGTGGGAGAGACAGAGAAAAAGGTCTTCCATCCGCTGGTTCACTCCCCAAATGGCTGCAATGGCCAGAGCTGTGCTGATCCGAAGCCAGGAGCCAGGTGCTTCTTCTGGGTCTTCCATGCGAGTATAGGGACCCAAACACTTGGGCCATCTTCAGCTGCTTTCTTGGGTCATTATCAGGGAGCTGGATAGGAAGAGGGGTTAGCAGGGACACAGACTGGAACCCATATGGGATGCCAGTGCTGTAGGCAGAGGCTTAGCCTACTGTGCCACAGCGCCGGCCCCCAGACTGTATTCTAACATATGAAAAGCAACACATCTATTTGGAACTCCTCTGACTACACAAATCTTTTAAAAACAACTATTTTCTACCTGTCTACCTCTTTTTAACTATAGAAATGGAAGGAGGGGCCAGCACCGTGTGCAGTAGCTTAGTCCTCCGCCTGTAGTGCCAGCAACCCATATGGGTGCCAGTTTTAGTCCCAGCTGTTCCTCTTCCCATCCAGCTCTCTGCTGTGGCCAGGGAATGCAGTGGAGGATGGCCCAAGTCCTTGGGCCCCTGCACCCGCATGGGAGACCAGGAAGAAGCACCTGGCTCCTGGCTTCCGATTGGCACAACTCCGGCCATTGCGGCCATTTGGGGAGTAACCAATGGAAGGAAGAACTTTCTCTCTGTCTCTCCCTCTCACTGTCTGTAACTCTACCTCTCAAATAAATAAAAATCTTGGAAGGAAGGGAGGGAGGGAGGGAGGGAAGGAGCCAGTCAAGGGAGAAGGCTACCTTTGCAGCATTCTTATTTCATTGAGACATGCCACTTAACTACACTGGCAGCACAGAAGCATCCACTCACTGCTATTAAACAATCATTTGTACGAAATTGTTAGCTAATCTTTGATTTTGAGGGCTCATGTTCCAAATATTTTCATGCTTTCTGTAACCTCATATCTCAACTTCAGATTGCCTCTCTAATCAAAAGCCTGAGTAAACTTAATGCCAGCCAGTGAAGAATGAGCTCCTAATACCTTGTTTTTCTATCAGAAGTCAAGTTAGTAGTAAGGAAATTCCCCTACACATCAAACACTTAAAAATTGGAATGTATGATTTTATTTAATACTATCTATACTTATCTAATGATCAAAGATGAAGCATATATAGTTTCAGATTTACTTTTTTAAAAAAAATTTATTTGAAAGTCAGCATTACAGAGCAAAATAGAGAGAGAGAGAGAGAGAGAGAGAGAGAGATCTTCCATCTTCTGGTTCACTCCCCAAGAGGCCACAACGGCCAGGGCTAATCCAAGCCAATGCGAATAGCCCCATCCAGGTCTCTCACATGGGTCCAGGAGCCCAAGCACTTGGGCCACTTTCCATTACCTTTACAGGCCATTCGCAGGGAGCTGGGTTGGAAGTTGATCAACTGGGACATTGCAAGTGGCAGTGTTACCCACTACACCACAATGCTGGTCTGTGAGATTTACTTCTTAATAAGTAAAATCACTAATTAAAACAAAACACAGTTACACAGAAAACCAGCTTGGAGTTTTAAGGTTTTAAGACATTGAAAAATAAATGGGGCAGGTTTTGTGGTGCAGCTGTTTACCTGCTGCATGGGAGGCCCGCATCCCATACTGGAGGCGAGTGCTGGTTTGCATCTTGGCAGCTCCACTTCTGATCTGGCTTCTGACTTACACATCCTGGGAGACAGCAGGTGACAGCTCAAGTACCTGGGTCCCTGCCACACATGTGGGAGACCTGGATGGAGTTCCTGATTCTTTGGCCTGATTTGGCCCTGGCTGTTGTGGACATCTGAGGAGTAAACCAGCAGATGGAAGACACCCTTCTCACTCTTTTGGTCATTCTACCTCTCAAGTAGATGAAAATAAACATTAATAGAATAAAATAAAATAAAATAAAAACTCTTATTCTGCAACATACTACAAGGACACAGATGGACAATTCAACTTACAAAACTGACATGTTACAAAACACAGTGAACTGCCCACTCCCTTTTGAATTAATCTACTTCTGGTAATCCTAACCTCATTCCCACAAATAAATCTAAAGGCTTTGGTTTGTTTGTGAAAAACAGTAATATAAATCTGTTTTCCTTTCATTTTTAGCTGAAAATAGATCAATTCAGAAAGTCCATAGACTCAGTCCTCTGTACATCTCAGACATGTCTTTTTAACTTTGCATCTTTGTCAATGCTCAAACCTTCTCTATATTTTGCATGCATGTATATTTTTATATTATTCATTAAAGAATAAGACTTGGAAAAAGTATTTAAAGTGACTGTCCATAAGGTTTTAGCTATTATTTTAAGAAATGATCAAAATGGGTTCTTCTTTAAGCACATTATACCTTTAAGTTTGGATTTAGTTTTCTTCAGGGATATTCTGTTAAAATGCAGATATCATGTATGCATAATACACGGAAAGTATTGGCCGGCGGCGTGGCTCACTAGGCTAATCCTCCGCCTACAGCGCCGGCACACCAGGTTCTAGTCCCGGTTGGGGCACCGAATTCTGTCCCGGTTGCTCCTCTTCCAGTCCAGCTCTCTGCTATGGCCCAGAAGGCAGTGGAAGATGGCCCAAGCACTTGGGCCCTGCACCTGCATGGGAGACCAGGAGAAGCACCTGGCTCCTGGCTTCAGATTGGCGCAGCGTGCCGGCCGTAGAGGCCATTTGCGGGGTGAACCAACAGAAAAGGAAGACCTTTCTCTCTCTCTCTCTCTCTCTCTCTCTCTCTCACTGTCTAGCTCTGCCTGTCAAAAAAAATTATTTAAAATGCCACTAAGAAATACATCCTGAGGCTGGCATCATGGTATAGTGGGTTAAGCCACTACCTTTGATGATGCCATCCTGTATCAGAGCGCTGGTCCAAGTTCTGGCTGCTCTGCTCCAGGTCCAGCTCCCTGCTAATGTGCCTGGGAAAGCAGTGGAGGATGGCCCAGGTACAAGGGTCTCTGTCTCCCACCTGGGAGACCTGGATGAAATTCCAGGCTCTTGCCATTGTAGCCATTTGGAGACTGAAACAGTGAATCGGAAGATCCATCTCTCCATCTCTCTGTCTCTGTCTCTCTATCTCTCTTGGCTCTCTCTGTTACTCTTTCAAGCAAATAAGTAAATCTTTAAAAAATAAAAAGAAATGTATCCTGATTTCAGAGATGTTTACACATAGAAAAACATGTTTGGTTTTGTTTTTTTTTTTGTTTTTTTTTTTTTTTTTTTTTTTTTGACAAGCAGAGTTAGACTGTGAGAGAGAAAGACACAGAGAGAAAGGTCTTCCTTTTTCCGTTGGTTCAACCCCCAAATGGCCGCCATGGCCAGTGCACTGCAGCCAGCATGCTGCGCCAATCCGAAGCCAGGAGCCAGGTGCTTCTCCTGGTCTCCCATGCGGGTGCAGGGCCCAAGCACTTGGATCATCCTCCACTGCCTTCCTGGGCCACAGCAGAGAGCTGGCCTGGAAGAGGGGCAGCCGGGACAGAATCCGGAAGGAAGACCTTTCTCTCTCTCTCTCTCTCTCTCTCTCTCACTGTCTAACTCTGCCTGTCAAAAACAAAACAAAAAAAACTAACATGCAATTACTGTATGACCTAGCAAATGTACTCTTGGGACATTTATTCCAGAAAAAGTCAAAACTTTTGCTCATAAAAAATTCTGTACAAAAAATGTTCATAGCAGCCTTATCTGTAAGAACCAAAAACTGGGATCAGCAGAAGTTGTTCAACAGGTAAATGGTCCATCCGCACTGAATGCAACTCAGAAATAAAAAAGAATGAGCTAGTGTTATACCCAATGACTTCAATGAATCTCCAGGGAATTATACTATATGGGGAAAATAAAGTACCAAAAAGTCAGTTTGTAAAAAAAAATTTTAAAGGTTTATTTTATTTATTTGAAAGGCAGAGAGACAGAGAGAAAGAGATCTTCCACCCATTGGCTCACTCCCCAAATGGCTATTATGGCTAGGCTAGGTGGAAGCCAGGAGCCAAGAACTCCTTCCAGGTCTCCCAATTAGGTGGTAGGGACCCAAAGACTTGGATCCTCTGCTGCTGCCTTCTCAGGCACATTAGCAGGAAGCTGGATTGGAAGTGGAGCAACAGGGACTCAAACCAGCGCTCCAATATGGGATGCAGTGTCATGGGTGGTGGCTTAACCTCCTTTGCCACAATGCCAGCCTCTAAACCTTGTATTTTTAAAAGAGGTATGGCTCTGTGGACTCAGACCTAGGTGGCAGTGACATGTCTAAGCGTACCAAGAAGATCAGAATCATCAGTAAATACAGGACCTGCCTGCCTCCTGCAAAAATGGTGAAAACTAAAATCAACCAGCTCACTGAGTCCACATGCTCCTTCTGTGGCAAAGCCACGATGAAGAGATGAGCAGCGGGGATCTGGCACTGCAGTTCCTGCATGGACACGGGAACTGGTGGGGCCTGGACCCACAGCACCACTTCTGCTTCACAGGAAAGCCCACTATCAGAAGCCAGGAGGGACTGAAAGACCAGGAGAAGCTCCACCATTTCAGACATCACTAGCCTACAGTAACAAAACTGTCTAGATTGTTACTTGTATTAATTAGAAATTCTGATTGCATTGTGTTAATACTGCTTTTTCCAAAGGGACATAATTTGTAATTTCCTAATTTATATTGTAAAAGAATAAGCATACTGAGATTATAATCCAGTCTTTTTTTAATGGTACTCAAATGAAATGATATGGCATACAAATAGAGGCCTAACAGGTTGGGTATACATCTTGGCTTTTTTTTTTTTTTCTGTTCTTGCAAGTTTGACTTTTTTGAGATATATTGGTACAAATTGTGCAAACTTTTCTTTTTAAATCAGTTAATGAACTTTGCTTCTAAAGGTATAAGGTATATTAAAGGATATAAATATATCATCCTTTTTTTTAAACAAAATGGTATGATTCTATGCATATAACATTTCTAAAATTAGAGCATTTTACAGTAGAGGACAGATTCATGGTTGCCAGAGCTAAGGATAGGACATGGTGGGGAGGTATATAGGAGAGAGGGAGATGTAGTCATGAAAAAGCAAAACAAAGGATACTTCTGGTGATGGATTTGTTCAGTATCTTACATGTGGTGTCTGACGCATGAATCTATACAGATGAAAAGATCGTATAGAAATCAGTACACACAAACACATACACGTACACAGTAAATACAAGTGAAACTGGAGAAATCTGAATACAGCTATAGATAGTATTAATGTCAAGATCCTGGTTGTGACATTATACTATTGTTCTACAAAATGTTACCATTGGGATGAACTGCAAAATGGACAAGGGATTTCTGTATTATTTTTGGAAACTGCACATGAACCTACAATTAGCTCAATTAAAATTTTAATTTTAAAAATGTATGCCTCAGAATCTTTGAAATTTAGTAAGTGCTATGGGAGCAATAAAGGACAATGTGAGAGTCTGGGTGTGGGGAGGGGCCACTTTAAATAGAACGGCTGAGAGATGCTCAAAGGCACATGAGCTGGACCCTAAAGGGCGAGAAGTTTCCAGTCATGATGGCAGAGAGACCACTGCATATAGGAGGGCACTGTGGTGAGAAAGGGCTCCGGGGCTACAAGAACAAAACCAGCCTGGCAAAGATGGAGCCCCACTATCAGCAACTTCAGGAAGAAAAGAGTCTGGGATGTGGTCAGAGTTATACGTGGAACCAAATCAGGTTAATGATTGGGATTTTATGCTAAGAGCAAAGAAGAGCCTTAGCAATCACTGGGAAGAGCAAAACTAACTATGACAGGAAGTTTCGATGCTTGAGGAGACTGAAGATAGCAAAAGATGACCAACATGCCACAGATATTTCACCATTCAGCTTGAGGCTAGCCTTGGCTAAACTAACGACTTTCGTGCCAGCTCTGAAAAATACTCCAGAGACCTTTCCGAGAGCCTCAATCAATACACCATTAGTAGTTGGGCAGGACGACTGCAAGGTTGGGTCCCTTTCTTTCTTGGACAGGCCCTGGAATTGTGTGAGCTAAACTGAGAATCTGGGTTGGTCTGCATTTTTCTGGTAAGAAGAACCAAAACTTCGTGCACACGTTCAATATCAGGTAGACAAATTGATTTAGATGCTCAGTTTTAACCTTGAGGCCACAGTTTTGCAACAAGATTTAGATTTTGGGCTTTACTATGGAAATAAATGTATTTATAAAGTCACAGTTTATTTTCAAAGGAATGTTTGATGAACTATTAAAAACTAAAATTACACATTAAAGTACATAAATTATATATATTTTTTTGACAGGCAGAGTGGACAGTGAGAGAGAGAGACAGAGAGAAGGGTCTTCCTTTGCCGTTGGTTCACCCTCCAATGGCCGCCGCGGGCCGGCGCGCTGCGGCCGGCGCACCGCGCTGATCCGATGGCAGGAGCCAGGTACTTATCCTGGTCTCCCATGAGGTGCAGGGCCCAAGCACTTGGGCCATCCTCCACTGCACTCCCTGGCCACAGCAGAGAGCTGGCCTGGAAGAGGGGAAACTGGGACAGAATCCAGTGCCCCGATCGGGACTAGAACCCGGTGTGCCAGTGCCGCAAGGCAGAGGATTAGCCTAGTGAGCCATGGCGCCGGCCCGCATAAATTATATTATTATAAATTATACAGTTTCTAAGTTTATAATTCAGGTCCATCTGATTTCTTATGAGCACCTGGAACTCCTCTAATCAGTGTGTGTCTTACCTACAAATAGCAACTTCAATATTCATCCTCACAAATTATTGCAGCAAGGTGCATTTTTATATATTCTTTAAAAGATTTATTTGAAAGGCAGAGTAACAGAGAGGCAGAGTCAGGGAGAGAGAAAGAAATCTTCTACCTACTGGTTCACGCCCTAAATGGCCACAACGGCCAGAGCTGGGCCAATCCAAAGCCAGGAGCCAGGAGCTTCCTCTGGGTTTTTCCATGTGGGCAAAAGAGCCCAAGGACTTGGGCCAACTTCCACTGCTTTCTCAGGCCATAGCAGAGAACCAGATTGGAAGCGGAGAAGCCAGGACTCAAACTGGTGCCCATATGGGATGCCGCACTGCAGACAGCAGCTTTACCCACTACACCACAGTGCTGCCCCAGCATTTTTATATTTTAAGCAAACAAAAAAACCCTATGCAGGTGAGATTATGGAAAAACTGTGCCACTCATGCATTGTTGTTATATTCTGTGAGTACATTCATGTTGTTTTCATACAAAACTATTATGTCTTCAAATGCTTATCAAGGGGTTGGCACTGTGGCAAAGCAGGCTAAGCCTCTGCCTGTGACACCAGGCATCCCATAAGAATGTCAGTTCAAGTCTCAGCTCCTTCACTTCCAAGCCAGCTCCCTAATAATGCTCTTGGGAAAGCAGCGAAGGATGGCCCAACTGTTTCAAATAAATAATAAAAAAATAAATTAAAAAAAGGTAAATCTTTAAAAAATGCTTATCAAGTAAAACTGATACTCCAGACATTCCTCCGTGTACCATCAAGTACCAACCAGTACAACAGCTGAGAAGGCATTAAGTGATACATTAGAAGTATTAAAATAATCAATATAGCATGTTGATTATAACATCAACTATTATAGATTTGATTACATTTGAGGATCTGAAAAGTCATTTTAGAACTCAGTGATCTGGGGCTGGCGCTGTGGCATACAGTGTAAAGCCACGGCTGCAGTGCTGGTATCCCTTAGGGGTACCGGTTTGAGTCCCAGCTGCTCCACTTCCTTTTTTTTTTTTTTTTTTTACCAGGCAGAGTGGACAGTGAGAGAGAGAAAGAGAGAGAGAGAAAGGTCTTCCTTTGCTGTTGGTTCACCCTCCAATGGCTGCCGCAGGCGGCGCACTGTGGCCAGCGTACCGCGCCGATCCGAAGGCAGGAGCCAGGTGCTTCTCCTGGTCTCCCATGGGGTGCAGGGCCCAAGTACTTGGGCCATCCTCCACTGCACTCCTGGGCCACAGCAGAGAGCTGGCCTGGAAGAGGGGCAACCGGGACAGAATCCAGTGCCCCGACCGGGACTAGAACCCGGTGTGCCGGTGCCACTAAGCGGAGGATTAGCCTGTTGAGCCGCGGCACCAGCTGCTCCACTTCCAATCCAGCTCTCTGCTATGGCCTGGGAAAGCAGTGGAAGATGGCCTGAGTCCCTGGGCTCCTTGTACCTGCATGGGAAAGCCCAGAGGAAGCTCCTGGCTCCTGGCTGTGGATCGGCGCAGCTCCGGCCATTGCAGCCATCTGGGGAGTGAACCAGCAGATGGAAGACCTTTCTCTCTGCCTCTCCTTCTCTCTCTGTGTAACTCTGACTTTCAAATAAATAATAAATCTTAAAAAAAAAAAAAAAGAATTCAGTGGTCTCACAGCCAGGAGTGAATGTCGCTCCCCCTCTTCGTGGAGGAGCGACACTAGACCCTGCGCTGTTCTTTCGTCTGCTCGGCCCTCCCCGGGTTTGCTGCTGGTTCTTCCCGGGTTGGCTACTATCCCTTCCACCTCCGTGGAAGGGCAGTTCCCCCTGGCCGCATTCCCCACTTCCGCAGGGGAGCGGCACACCGCCGGCCGGCTTTCTCGGGGGCTGCACAGGTGTTCCTTCAGCTAGATGTTCCCCTTAGATGTTCCTGGTGCATGCCGTCTCTCTCCTCCTTTATAGTCCTCCTCCGCCAATCCCAACTCGGCTGCCCACACGCTGAGTACGCTGCTCTCCTCCAATCAGGAGCAAGTCCTACAGTTTATCAGTTGAACTGGAGGCAGCTGTGCGGAAGCTGTTTACTTCTCTCCCAACGCCACATTGTGGGAGAGCAGATGCATAGAATAAGTCTTAATTCGAGTAACTTAGTCTAGTCCGGATTGCTCCCCACAAGTGAAGATCTGGAAAAAATGACACCAGAGTGGCTAATGTTCATGCTGTTGCTATGGTCACTGTCATGATCATTATAAACTGTCATTTGCTGATGGCCTACTATGTGACAAGCATAACATTAAGAGCAGAGGGCAGTCTGCTAGCTAGCTATCTCAATATCCTCTCCCTACTTTTCTAACCTAAGACAATAAAATTTCACCATATCATTCTCTCCAGGCTACATCATTTCCATTTCTCAAGGGCAGAAACATCAGTTCTCACTAACATGTGAAACTGTGGTCCACTCTGACTCCATCCCCCCAGGACTTCTTGTGGTGCAGGTGTTAAGCACTACAGTGTACCATGTATGCTTTTGGGTGACAACTATTCATTTCACTGGTGTGGAGAGTGTGAATGTATGTGCATTCTTTTCTTAATCTCCATTAAGGTCATTTACCAGAGAAAACAACAATATCCAAATCACAGAAGACAAAGTTTACCTTCATTAGAAGAGAACTATTCCAGGATTTTACAAGTTCAATAGCTCTTAGGTCTTGCCAACTAATGAAGTTGTGAAAATGATGTCCTGTTTTCCTATGAAAGATGGAAACAGTTTTGAGACTCAATATAAATCAGAGACTCCATGAAAGATCTGCATACGAGAAAACAACATGAGAGACCAAACTGTAACGTCTAAGTATGACTTAATGATACGGGCTTTCTGAATGATGTCTCTTGGCTTTTATAAACGGAACAAAGTGCATAACAATTAGGAAGTGAGGTACAACACAAAACTTGAAATCAGACATTATCTGTAGAGGCATTCCTTTTGAAACATGACAGTGTGCACAACTCTAAAAACAAACATAACTTATAAGAAGGCCTTTGATGATTTGATCTATAAACTTTTTTTTAAAGATTTATTTATTTATTTGAAAGGCAGAGTTACAGAGAGGGGGGGAGGGAGGTCTTCCATCTGCTGGTTCACTCCCCAAATGGCAGGAGTTGTGCCAATCCAAAGCCAGGAGCCTGGAGCTTCTTCTGAGTCTCCCACATGGGCACAGGGGCCCAAGGATTTGGGTAATCTTCCACTGCTTTCCCAGACCCATTAGCAGAGAGCTGGATTAGAAGTGGAGCAGATGGGGCTCAAACTGGCATTTATATGGGCTGTTGGCACTGCAGGTGGCAGCTTTACCCGCTGTACCACAGTGCCAGCCCTTTGATCTATAAACTTTTAAAGCAAGATAAAAATGCCAATGTTTATCCCCTGCATTGCATTTATGAGACAAACTCCTCTAACGTACAAGGGGCTGAAATATAGCCTGAGCCTTTTCTATACCTCTCAGCTTGAGGGTGGGCTTAGCCATTGGGAGCCTAACATACTTAATAAAATTTCCCTGATAAACAAAATTTTCCTGAAAAACAAAATTTGACCAAGCCTCAGGTCAATACTACAATACTACAGAGCTAAGAAATACAGAAGAAAAAAAATCTGGAATGCAGAGTAATTTATATACTTATATATTGAGGCTAAATTTCTTGAGGATAGGCATTTTAAAAAATTTATTTATTTATTTGAAAGAGTGACAGAGAAAAAGGGAGAGACAGAGAGAAAAAGAAAGAGAGATATTTCCATCTGTTGGTTCATTCCCCAATGTCCACATCAGCAGGGGCTGGGTGAGGCTGAGGTCAGGATCCAGGATCTGAGGTCAGGATTCAGGTCTCCCTTGTGGATGGCAGGAAACCAAGGACTTGACCATCATCATCTGGTGTCTCCCAGGCACACTAGCAACAGGTTGGATGAGAAGGGGAGGCGGGACTCAATCCCAGGCACTCCAATATGGGATGCAGGCAACCCAAGCAGAGTTAACTATACCACGACGTCCACTCTGGGACTGTCATTCTTATTCTTCATCATATTGAGTTTGGCAGCCAGCCCAGCGCCTTACTTCTGCGAGCCCTGAAACAGTTACTGCGTGGATCCCAGCTCGTGTGATTCATAGCTGATTTGATATTGCTAATTGCCATTCTCCCTGATCTGGGGTTACTAAGCAGAAGTCTCCTGAAGAGACACAGTAACTAGAAGAAACAAACAGCTTTTATTTTCTTAGAACAAAAGAAATTTGAAAGAACCAAGATGGAGGAAATACCACTTAGAGTTATTTGAGAAAGCAGGCTAAACACATCAGCAATTAAATATACTGAATAAAAAGAAAACTTAAGGACTGAAAAAAGTTACTATAAAAGTTGTTTCCTGATCAGAGGAGGAGAGGGTTGAGAAACAAGGAGAAAAGCAAAAAGAAAGTTCAAAGTTTAGACCTCTGACAGCAACAAGAAGGAAAATAACATTTCTACAGCCAAGAGGACAGGAATGTACCAAGAGGAAAAAAAAATAAAAACAAATCAGTGAGTTAGGAGGAGGCGGGCTGGCTGGGACTAGAGCGAACAATAGATTTTCCACAGGGCCCAGTCCTTCTCTGGTAAATGGGCAAGAAGTACTTCCTGCTGGCTCTGAGCCGTGCCCACTGCTGTGTTTTGGCTGTTTGTTGGGAAGCTTGTAGAAGCTGCTAGCAACACAGTGGCTCACTGGGGTTCACTGAGCAGAATGCGGCTCCAAGATTTTAAGGCAAAAGAGGCATGAAGCCATGGGAGTTTTTCTGAAAAGTACCTTGCTTTGGTTTCTATAAACAGTGTTTCCAAGACTCATAAAAGAATATGGATATTTCAAAAGAGAAAAAAGGGACAGCCAAGAAGTGAAACTCATAATTAACTGCTTAGGAAGAAATCCTACCCCTTTCAACAACAGCAACACCAGTACAGGAAGTGAGCAGTATCGGAATCTGATTTGTCTACGTCTTCCAAAAGGAAGGTACGGTCCTAGTGTCACACAAAAACCTCACTTCTTAATACTCTGGCCTTCTTGTCATCATTGGTATAGAAGCAGCAGGTCCTGATGAAAGCAACCTCATTTCCAAATCAGCTGCTCCCCTGGGAACACTCTCCTGGCTCCTCTTACAAGACCAGCCACTTCCAGATTTGTCTTAGTCCTATTTTGTCAGCTTTTTCTTCCCTAACACCCTTTAAACTTAGTAATGAAATGTGGCCTAGAGGTTATGCTGCCAGTTAGGGCACCCACATCTACATGAGTTCCTGGCTCCAGGCCCTGACTCCAGCTTCCTGCTAATGCAGGGCTCAGAGGTAGCAGGTGATGGCTCAGGTAGTTGGGTTCCTGCCACTCACACAGGAGACAGGGATTGAGTTCCCACTTCCCATCCCAGCCCAGTCATGGCAGGCATTTGGGGAATGAACCAGTGCATGGAATCTCTCTCTCTCTCTTCCTCACTCTCTTTCAGTATCTCAAATAAATAAATTTTAAGGATAAAATAGGAGCTAGCATTGTGGTTTAGCAGGTAAAGCCACTGTCTGTAATGCTAGCATTCCACATGGGTGCCGGATTATGTCCCAACTGCTCCGCTTCTAATCCAGCTCCCTGCTGATGGCCTGGGAAATGCAGAGGAGGGTGGCCCAAGTATTTGGGCTCCTGCCACCCGTGGGAGGAACCCGGAAGAAGCTTCTGGTTCCTGGCTTTGGCCTGACCCATCCTCTGCCATAGCAGCCATTTGAGGAATGAACCAGCAGATGGAAAATTTCTATGTATCTCTCCCTCTCTCTCTCGCAGTCTGCAATTCTATCTTTCAAATAAATCTTAAAAATAATTTTGGGGAAGACACTCATAGTCCTAATCTTCAACCCAGTGTTCTTTTCTCCAGATAATCTCTGCCAGAGAACACACCTATTTCCCAATGCTTCATCTGCACCAATGGTTCTCAGATAGGGGACATTTGGCAATATCTGGAGACATCTGTGGTTGTCATAATGGTAGGGATGTGCGTGCTACTGGCATCTAGCAGGTAGAGGCCAGAGAGGCTATTAAACATGTGCAATGCCACAGGGGAGAGTTCCCGCAACAAAGAATTATCTGGCCCCAAATGTCAATAGCACCATTAATTAGACACCGTGATCTACACAGATAGCTTGAAATAACTCATTTCTTCATCTGACAAGAACATTCCTATTTTGAGATGTGCCCAAAGTGGGTGGTGCAGGGGGACTGCAGACACAGGCCTCAACCTGAGCTGCACCATGCCCTATAAAACCAGAGCACCCATTTGCAGGTTTCCATGTCTCATTCTACATCAGACCAATGATCTGGAGAACTCTAGGATAACTCCACATCCACATGTCCAAAACTCAACCACTTCAGCAGCTCCCCTTGTACCCACCACCACCACCACCATCACCCACCCCATTCTTTTCTTCTAGTCTCTGTAATTTCTATCACGTCTGCCCAAACGTGAAGGGCAGAAACACTGGCAAACTCAAATTTCCTCCTCTTGCCTAATACTGGATGAAAAGCCAAGTCCTTATGAATTCACTGAATATATTCCTAAGACTCTTCCCACGTTTTTTTCTCCACTGCCCAAGCTCAAGATGTCCTTTGCGGTTCAGTGCCTACGAAGACAGATACAACTAACAGTATTGTTTTTTTTTTAAAAAAAGAAAAGAAAAAAAGCAAGAAACACACGCTGAAGGCAATATGAGGGTAGTGGAAAGAACATGTGCTTCAGAGTCAAAAAGAGAATCTGAAATCTTGGCTCTATGTACTGACTGACCTTGAACAATGTACTTATTTCACTTCAGTTTCTTTCTCTTTTGTAAAAAGAGATATGATACCTAAATAACAGGTTTTAAGAATAAAGAGGGCCGGCGCTGCGGCACAACAGGCTAATCCTCCGCCTAGCGGTGCCGGCACACCAGGTTCTAGTCCCAGTCGGGGTGCCGGATTCTGTCCCGGTTGCCCCTCTTCCAGGCCAGCTTTCTGCTATGGCCTGGGAGTGCAGTGGAGGATGGCCCAAGTGCTTGAGCCCTGCACCCCATGGGAGACCAGGAGAAGCACCTGGCTGCTGCCTTCGGATCAGCGTGGTGCACCGGCCACGGTGGCCATTGGAGGGTGAACCAAGGGCAAAGGAAGACCTTTCTCTCTGTCTCTCTCTCTCACTGTCCACTCTGCCTGTCAAAAAATAAAAAATAAATAAATAAATAAATAAATAAATAAATAAAAGAATAAAGAAACTTATAGTATCACAGGTAATGACTATGTGGTAGTTACTCTATTATAATCATGTTTATATATACCTCATCTGTTATAAATAATGTATTATTACATTTGAAGTAGACTGAAAATAAAAACCATACACATGTATTGTATTTCTAAATTTATTAGGCTCCTGTAACTCTCTTTTGGTATAAGCGAATGTTTTAGATCTTCAATCCATGCTTATTTGAAAAGTTAACTATAAAAAAAAGGAACAGAGAATTTAATGACAGCAACAGTTTTTTTAATTGTTATTATTTTATAGAAGCCAAACCCAGATGATAGGCAGGGAACATGCTTTCATCCTTTTTAACCAAGCAAAACTGTTTTCAATTCCCAAATTTAAAACTGCCTGGACAGGTTTCTCAGCAGTGTGTCCACACAGCGTGAACTGAGAGTGGACAGCTTGCCACACAACACACTTACTTGTTCCACGTAATGAAAGTTGCTCTCTGTGTTGATATGCCAAGACCAACAACTTGATTCATCTGTATTCCAGCAGCTAGAAGACAAATAAAACATGTTTAAAAAGTTAGTGAAGTTTTTCATTATAATATTACAGTACAGAAAAGAAATGACTTGATGTCATTTTTTCAGACAAACATGTGGCATCTCCATTTGTAAAAATTTTGATTGACATGTCATAATCACACAAAGGAGGGGACTTCAGGAACTTTCTGGAAAAACTGAATTATAATAAGTTATCCTGGTGCACAAATTTTTGAAATTCATTCATTTTCCCCTCAGGGAAAAGAATATAATTATTAAGGTGAAGTCTTATTTTGAACACAAACAGATGTCAAGGCGGCAAATAAACCCAAGTTTCTTTAATACAGAAACTCAAGTGTGTGTGTGTGTGAGTGAGAGAGAGAGAGAGAGAGAGAGAGAGAAATTCTTTTAAAATCAATTTACCCAACATGAGACACCTTTAATTTGAGTTCTGAGGAAAATGTATCACTCCTTATATGAATAATTCCTTCAAAAATGTTTAACCAGAATTTAATCATAGGATACAATCAGACAACCCCAAAGTGAGGTACAGTCTAATAAACTGGACTGTATCTGTGAAAACTGTCAGTATCATGAAGAACATGCTCCAGATTAAAGGAAACAAGAGACTGTGAGCAAAATGGAATACCTCATCTTTGGTTGGATTCTAGATTGTAAAAAGATAAGAGAGAATATTAAAGTCTGAGTACCACAAAATCAATTGCATTAATGTTAAATTTTCTGAGCATGATAACTGTGTTTCGTTTATATAGGAAAATACTCCTTTCCTTTGGAGACAATGTTGCAGTATAGAGGGCTGACAACTAAGCCTTGAATGGTTTGGAAAAAAACAGTTTGTAGAGAACTGAAAACAATGTGAAATATGTTCAGAACTAAGAGAGGGGTCTACAGGTTTCCACTGTATTATTTTTGCAGCTTTTTAATAGGGGTTGAAACACTTCACACTCAAAAGATGAGGAGAAGAAATTCAGACAGAAAGACGAAGTCAAAGAGCTTTTGGAATTTACATTTACAAATCATCACACACCATAGTCTTAAACAAGGCTGCACTGAAAACACTCTTAAACAGGTAAGATTTTATGCCAGGGGGTACTTTTCCAAGTGGTCACGCAGAAAACTAAACAAAAAAAATTTTTTTATAATGGAGGTAACTCAGTTGTAAACCTTATGAGAGTAGGAACTGTGCATAATAACTTTGTTTATAATCATGTGGTACTTTGTACCCAACAGGAAATCAAATCAGCACAAGCTACAACTTAGAACAAAGGAAGGTAAACACTTATTATATTACAGCAACAGAGACAAACCAGAGGAGAAAGATGCTGTTACCTTTCTTTGATAAAGTGCCTCACTGTAAACCACAAATTTCACCCTGAAAATTATGGGAAACTATGTCCCCAATAAAATACTGTATGCATATTATAACATAAGAAAACCATAAACTCTTATTATAAACATAATATACTATAGAGATTATTATTTTCATAAATCCAATTACCTTTGACAGCATCTTTTATTACAGCAATAAATTGAACCCAGAGAACATCAGGATCAATTTCAACCCAGCCAGTTTGAGGATAAAGACTTTCCACCTATTTAAGAAAAAAAAGATTTAGAAAAAACATCATTAAATCATCAAAAGAATCTGTCATAAGACCGATGGTTAAAATAATTAACACATGATTTTATTACCTAATTAACTTTGTTGTTAAAAGTATATATTAAATAAAGAGAACTATCTACCAACACAAAAATATCATAAGCGCATGAGTGTTCATAAGTTTACAAAAGACTTCAGCTTCTTTTATCTTTACCTTTATTTTCCAAATTTTCTACAATGAAAATGTATTTTTATAATAAAAATTAGACTTTCAGAAAATAAGAAACAAACCAAGAAGGATCCAGGTTTCAGTTCAGACTGTGATGGAATAAAAACACTCTATCCTGTGTGTCTCTCTGAATACAAATATAAAATCTGGACAGAGTACAAGGAATAGCTATTTGCGTACTCTGAAAAAGTATACACTAGCAGGCAGACTGGGAAGTGACAAGAACTGCAGCGCTATTAACTTAGTGGTGAGTGCCCCAGATTTCTTCTGACATCTCCTGGCTTGGACCCCAGGCTCCCTGAGAAGCAGAACTGGGTCTCAAGCATGGACCAGGGGACACTCTAGTGTTTGGCTCAAAAAACAGGAAAGAGAACTCCTAACACTCAGGCTATGGGAGAGATTACCCCAGTTCGTTCCCCGCTACCTTGGGTCCATGCTTTTGTACCCAGCCTATCCCCTCCTTGTAGCCACAGTTGTGGGTTTCAACAAGCACCTAAAATACTGAAACTTCCTGCAAGGTGAACCCCCATGGCTACTTTTTCTCTCTCCCACTACTTGACACCAGTTATACCCAGAAGATTGGGGGGTGGGGGGTAGCCAAAGCCTCAGCTTTCTGGCCAAGGGACCAAAAAGGGATGCTGTGGGAATCAAAAAGTACCAGAAAGATCTGAGAGAGGGAGAAGCTTGGGAAAGAAACCACAGAAAGTTGTAAATGAACTCTCAGGCTCACCCCAAGTTGCATATGGGTGAATGTAATCTTGAACAGCAGACCAAAGATGTTAGGGACAGAATGAAGGGGCCAGCAGTTGTTGCAGTGGGTGAAGCTGCTGCCTGCAATGCCAGTCCCATATCAGAGCCATAGTTCTAGTTCTGGCTGTTGTGCTTCTGATCCAGCTCCCTGCTACTGAGCCAGGCCCCTGCCACCCACGTGAGAGACCAGGACGAAGTTCCAGCCTCCTGATTTCAGCTTGGCCCAGCCCTAGCTGTTACAGCCATTTGGGGGGAATTAATCAACAAACAGCAGATCTCTTTCTATCCCTCCCTCTCTGTCACTCTGCTTTCAAATAAAGAAAAATAAAACTTTTAAAAAAAAAAAAAAGAAGAAGAGAACTAAGAGGTGGGCTACTGCCCAGGTGCCAGACTGGCCTCCAGGTTGCACACAATCAGGGCAGATCTGAACAGTACTACCCATATTTAGTAAACAGAATTGACACTAAAACTACAGTCACAGACAGCTGCTCAGAATTTGTGGCTTAAGCCCAACTGCAATAATTATCTCCTGAAAGAAAAATATCAATGTAGTTCACAGGAAAAATGTTAACTCACATTGGAAAAGTTAAGAAACAGACAGCAATGCCAAATTTTCTGCTACAGACTAATTTTTTTTTTTTTTTTTTTTTTTGTAAAGCAGAGTGACAGAGACAGAGAGAGAGAGAGAGAGATCCTCCATCCTGTGGTTCACTCTCCAAATTCCCACAACAGCCCAGGCAGGACCAGGCCAAAGGCAGGAGCTTGGAATTCAATCTGGGTCTCCCATGTTGGGTGGCAGATACTTAAGTACTTGAGCCATCATCATCTGCTGCCTCCCAGGCACATTAGCAGGAAAGTGGATTGGAAGCAGAGTGGGACTCAATCCCAGGGACTCTGATATGGGATGCAGTGTCCCAAGCAGTGGCTTAATCCAATGCATCATAATGCCCACCCCAACACAAACTTTAAAGTGTCTATTATAAAAATATTCTTGAAATTAATGGAAAAACAGAAACTCTCAGCAAAGACAACTGTAGGGGGCCAGCGCTGTGGGTCACTTGGTTAATCCTCCGCCTGCGGCCCAGCATCCCATATGGGCGCCGGGTTCTAGTCCCAGTTCCTCCTCTTCCAGTCCAGCTCTCTACTGTGGCCTGGGAGGGCAGTGGAGGGTGGCCCAGGTGCTTGGGCCCCTCCACCCGCTTGGGAGACCAGAAAGAAGCTCCTGGCTCCTGGCTTCGGATTGGCACAGCGCCAGCCGTGGCGGCCATTTGGGGAGTGAACCAACGGAAGGAAGACCTTTCTCTCTGTGTGTCTCTCTCTCACTGTCTATAACTCTACCTGTCAAATAAATTAAAAAAAATTTTTTTTAAAAAGATAACTGTAGTAACCACTTCATTATGTAGATATACACTGAGGTAAATATACCAAAAAGGTAAAAATACCAAAACATCATGTTATACATCTTAAATATAAACACACTTTTCTTAGCAAAATTAATTAATTAATTAAAAACATTGAGAAAAAATAGACTTGAAAATTGAAATAATCAAAATTTAAAACTTACTGGATAGGCTTAATGACAAAGAGAAGAGAAGAAAGATCAATGGACATGATCTAATCTGAAGAACGGAAAGAAGATGGGTGGGGCTGGCTCTGTGGCATAGCAAGTAAAGTCGCAACCTGCAGTGCCGGCATCCCAGTTCAAGCCAGTTCGAGTCCCGGCTGCTCCACTTCTGATCCAGCTCCCTACTATGGCCTGGTAAAGCAATAGAAGATGGTCCAGGTCCTTGGGCCCCTCCACCTGCATGGGGGACCTGGAAGAAGCTCCTGGCTCCTGGCTTTGGATCAGTGCAGCTCCGTCCACTGCGCCCAATTGAAGGATTAACCAGTGGGTGGAGGACCTCTGTCTTTCTCTCTCTTTCTCTCTCAGCCTCTGTGCCTTTCAAATAAATTAATTAATTTAAAAAGATGAAGATGGGAAAAAAAAAGCCTCCAGGATGTATGTGATAATAGCAAATGGTCTAATATTTGTGTAATCAGAATCTCTAAAGAAGAAAAAAAAATTGTCAGTGGAGAAAAAAAGTGATGTTAGGAAAGTTACAATGCTAAAAGCTTCCCAAGTTCAGTGAAAGATTTAAAATCTATATATCTGAAAAGCTTGAAAAACCCCTACCAGAATATATCCAAAGGCTTACACACTCAGATACATCATAATTAAAATGCTAAAAACTGGGAGCTGGCACTGTGAGTAACAGATTAAGCCTTCGCTGCAGCACCAGCATCCCATATGAAAAGACCATCATTTAATAATTCTAAAAGACAAGACCATCATTCAAGAATTCTATATCAAAATTCTATATCAAAATTCCAGTAGGATTTTTTCTAGAAAGACAAAATGATTGTAAAATGCATAGGGAAGGGAAAAAAATCTAAAATAGCAAAAATTAAAGAAGAAGAATCATATTATTCATTTTCATTGTTTACTATAAAGCTACAAGAGCCAGAACAGTGTGCTACCGGCATAAAAACAAGAAAACAGATCACTGAACCAGAATACAGAGTTTACAGTTTACAAACAGACCTGCACAAACATAGACAATTGATTTTTGACAAAAAGACAAAAGCAATTTTATGAGGAAAAGATCATTTTTTTAAAACAAACATATTGGAAAAATTGGCCATCCATAAGTGAACATATCAACTTTAACATAAACATAGCTTACACAAAGACTAACTTAAAATCAATCAAGATCTAAATGCAGAACACAAAACTGTAAAACACTAGAGAAAACATTTAAAACATGAGAACATTTTTCTGACTTGGGGTTAGGCAAAGAGTTCTTAAGTATGACACCAAAAGTAGGTTAGTATTCATAAAAAACTGGTAAGCTGGACTTCACAAAGTCAAAAACATTTCTCTGTGAAAGATACTCTTAAAGAAAGATAAATAGAGGCTAACAGAAAATATCTGCAAATCACATAAACCTAGAACAGTATGTAATGTTCAGAATAAATAAAGAAATCTCAAAACTCAACAGTTAAGGAAAAAACTCAATTAAGAAATGGCCAGGGCCGGCAGGCATAGTAGGCTAAGCCTCTGCCTGCAGCACCAGAATCCCAAATGGGCGCTGGTTTTTTGAATCCCAGCTTTTCTGCTTCTGATCCAGCTCCCTGCTAATGGCCTGGGAAAGCAGCAGAAGATGGCCCAAGTGTTTGGGTCCTTGCACCTGCGTGGGAGACCCGGAAGAAGCTCCTGGCGCCAAGCTTCGGATCAGCTCAGCTCTGGCTGTTGTGGCCATTTGAGGAGTGAACCAGCAGATAAGAGACCTTTCTCTCTGTCTCTCCTTCTCTCTGTAACTCTACCCTTCAAATAAATAATGAAAATCTTAAAAAAAAAAAGAAAGAAAGAAAAAGAAATGGGCAAAAGACTTGAACAGACTTGAACAGACACTTCACTAAAGAAAATACATGGATGGTAAACATGTACATGAAGTATTCAACAGCATTAGCAATTAGGGAAATGTAAATCAAAGCCACAATAAGGGGCCAGAGCTGTGGCACAGCATGTTAAGCCACCACATGCAGTGCAGGCATCCCATATAGGCACCAATTCAAGATCCAGCTGCTCCACTTCCAATCCAGCTTTCTGCTATGGCCTGGGAAAGCCATAGAAGATGGCCCAAGTCCTTGGGCCCCTGCACCCACCTGGGAGACCCAGAAGAAGCTCCTGGCTCCTAGCTTCAGATCAGTGCATCTCTGGCCATTGTGGCCATCTGGGGAGTGAACCACCAACAGATGGAAGACCTCTCTTTCTCTATCTCTCCTTCTCTCTGTGTACCTCTGACTTTCAAATAAATAAATAAATCTTTAAAAAAAGAAAGCCACAATAAGTTGCCACTCATTTGTGGATAACTAAACTAACAAGTACTGATGAGGAGGTGGGACAACTATAATTTTGATACATTGCTAGTAAAGATGCAAAATGGTATAAACATTCAGGAAAAGTCTGGCAA